CGGTGATTTCGAGTCTGTTCTCTCACCACCGCCCCTTCCTTCCCCGTATACTAAATTCAGAGATTTCAGTAAAAGTAAGAGCCAGGTTTGCTGACTCCCTCTGCAGAAAGCACGGAGGCGCGGGGGAATCAAAGGCTTTTGCAGCAGGCAGGCCTTTTTTTGGCAGGAGATGCAGTCCCCTCAGAGATCAGTTGTCTTTTCCCAAACCACGGGAGAGATTTGTTCCCCATTTGAAGCCAACTGCTGAAATCCCACAGGGCTGGCGTTTCAAGGGCTGTGGGAGAAGGAGACCCCCTGACAGCCCAGAAAACTCAGGCTGCTCCAGCACGGGAAGCTGCCGGTGCCGTGGTGGGTCCTGGGGCTCACCCACAGCCCAGCAGAGCGGGGTGCTCGTGGGGGCACTTGAGGTGGGAGGGCGATGCCAGAGACTGCTGGCCCCCCTGCAGCCCCTCGCAGCCGTTACCGAGTCCACTGTCCCTGAGCAGGAGCAGGGCACCCCTCGATGCCCCCATGGTGCTCCCAGACAGGTGGTGCCCGTGGCTGGAGAAGCCCTCCGGCAAGCAGCCGGAGCTGGCGGTGATGCCCAGAGGGATGCGGGCAGCAGTGTGCCATGGGGCGTAATGGGGTGGGGAGGTGGGATGCAGGCAGACCTCCTCCTCTGTGCCCCAAAGTGCCTGTCCCCCAAGTGCTGCCCACCTGTGATGAGCCCCCAGCTGCCTCAGGGCATCTCCTGCCTGACCCCCTAATTTGAAGGTGTTTGGGGAAGAGGCTGAGGAAGGCTCCTTGCCTTATTTCAGGCAGTGAATGCTTTTGAGGGACCCAGGGTTTCCTCAAGCAGGAAAGAGGCCACGGGCAAATGGATTATTGATGGACCCCATCGGTGGCAGGCTGAGCCTGGCACAGGGGTCCGGCAGCACTGGGAGCCCACCTCCTTGGGGTCTTCTGGGGCAGCTGACAGGACCTGCCAGATGAAAGGCACCTTCAGACAAAGCTCTCCCAAAAGGGCAAACCATCACCCACCCTGCAGTGAGCCCCGAGGGACACCGTGAGCAGGGCTGCGGCCATCCCTGCAGCTGCTCAGCTGGGTTGGCATGGTGCTGGCAGGAGGACAGCCCCGTGGGAACATCTGGAGAACATCTGGGGAAGAGAAAGCACCCGGCAGGGCAGAGCCAAGTCCAGACCGATGGCCGCGGTGCGGCGGGAAGGCTCCTGCTGGCTGCTGGCAGCCTCCACTCCCAAAATCATCAGCAAGTAGGATGGGTGAGAAGGTGCCATAGCTCCTATGTGCCCCGAGCGCTTCCCACCCACACCCTGCCGAGAGACCTGACCCTCTCCGACACCAGCACCCTTAGGGCTGGCGTGGGGCGTGTGTGGAAGCAGCAGTGCTGGGAGGGTGCAGGGTGAGCCCGGCTTGCGCAAAGCTGCCATCGTCATCTCCCCCAGGGGTCTCCCCGCGAGTCCAGCTGCCACTGAGCTCTGCCAGGACCCCCACGCCTCCGTTCTGCCCCCACGGCCTGCGAGCCCCAGTGCCCCGTGGGACCGAAGCGCCTTCCCCAGGGTCTCACCCCATCGCGCTCCACCACCGCGGCCGTTCGGCTGCTCCTGCCCAGCCTGGGGGGAGCACGGGGCGTCGGGGAGGCGAAGGCGAGAGGAGCTGGCACAGCCCTGGCCCGTGTGCCCCAGCAGTGAGGCGGGAGAGGAGGAGGCTGCCTGCCCCTCCGCAGCCCCCCGAGGGGTCACGGGCTCGGCCAATCCACCCCAGATCCCATCCCAAATCCACCCTGGGGTCCGGCTGCGCCGGCAGCTCCCCCCTCCCCCTAAAGCCACTGCTCTCCCCTGCCGGGGTCAGCCGGAGAAGGGACCCGGGGGGACGGCAGCAGGGGCGAGGCGGGGGGGAGGGCTGTCCCCACCGTACCGGGCGGTCGCCCCCAGTTCCCTGCCCCGGGGCCGGGGGGGCTGCAGCGGCAGGGGTCCGCCCGGGGCCCCCCGC